ATTAGCACAACAAGCGATTGTGTTGTTAAGGGAATGGTCTTATAATCAATACTTATGATTGAATCTTTGCAAGATATAAAAGAAAATTGCACTGATATGTACGTATAATATTTCTTTTAGGATACTTCTTGTGATTATTTTTGTGTGATACTTTCTATGAAGTATTTTTAAAGTAGAATGATCGATATTGATTTGTTTTAAGTTGTATGTGTTATTATTTTTACAGGACAATCAGACGCCACATGACCTCTATATAAAGAATAAATGTAAGAAATATGATTCTAGAAATAGAGAAAAACACAAGGAAGAAGTCTTGCAACTTCTGCAAGGTGAGCAGTTCCTACAATTTAATTATTCATGTTATTGTTTATGATTAAGTAGTTCAATGTAATTTTATCTCCTGCTTATATTAATTGGATAATAATTTATTATTATCCGCTGTAAACAATGTCTTGCAGTCAAGCTCATTGTACATCACAGATGTTTGCTCGTTCATTTATTTGTCACAAAAAAGAAACAGCAAGGAACAGCACAAACAAAGATGAGACAGGACACACCAAAAGGGAACTTTTAAAGTTGGGGTCCTTTACAGAAAGCAAATACTTACTATAAAGGAAATATTTAACATTCAAAGTTAAAATATTCCTCAAGCCCATGTACCTACTTCGGTATTTCATATCACCCAAATAATTTTGATCTAGAATATCATAAGAATCGACTAAATGTTATTATTATTTGTTTAATTATTTGTTTAATACATTATTGTTGATGATGATTATGACAATAACGGTGAAAATGATAATATTTTAAAGACAATAAACAAGTCATCTTATTTTTTATAAATGATTATTTCCCTATATCCATTTCCATTATAATAATATTTGAAATTTTATAATAATGAGTCATTTACCATAGGATCGTGTTTTCTTAATTATTTTAACTTCTTAAAAGATTTTTGTTCAGACATCATCATTTTTTTATTATTATTTCTCTATGCTTTTATGAATAAACAATAATATATGGCTTTTGTACATTAGGCTTTGAAGTTCCGGAGGCAATATTAGCCAGAGGCAGTGAGGCTCTGAAGGTTTTTAATGAGGAATTACAAGAAGGAAGGATCACAGTAAACCATGCACGATTAATGGTGACAGGCAAAGAAGGGGTGGGAAAGACTTGTTTGGTAAACACTCTGCTTGAAAGAACGTAAGTTTCCGAAGTGCTGTATCTGTCAATGGATTTCCAATATAAATGTTGCTGTATTGCTGTACTTTTTTATACAAGTTTTGTATTTTATTTGCTTTCTATATATTAAAAAAAAAAATACAGTATGATACCACGTAAATATTATTGTTTCAAACATGCATGTACTTAAATTGTCATTACCCATACATCCAACAGCATGTTTTGTTGTATATACTGTACTATAGACTATATGT